CTTGATCTTGTACAAATGTTATTTCTTAATTTGTGGTGTAATATGGTCTATTTGGCTGGTATATAATGCAAGTATGTTTGAAACAAATGATTCGTATAATACAAGCTATTATTGACGTTCTGGACTAAACTGAAATGTTTAAAAGGACAAAGGACCAATAAGGACGCTAGATTGCTCATACCGGTTGAACGTCATTGGTTTGGCACAGTAATAAGATTGTATAAGTTGTATTTCGATTGGCGAATAAATCATGTGATAACTAGCCGGGCATAAAAACATAACAATTACTTCCAATCTTTTTAGACGTGGTAAGAGAATGTTGAATATTTAGATGGAGGTTGGAGGTAGTCAACAGGAAACGCAAGTTATTACGTAATTTACTCGGTAATCAAATACGGCTTATTCGCTCTTGTACTGTGCTAAAACAATGACGTCCAACCGGTCTGATCAGCCTAGCGTCCTATTGGTCCTTTGCTCGCCTAGCCAGTCCAGCTGAGTCCAGAATGCCAACAGTAGACTCGACTGTACGAATCGTTTATTTGAGACATACTTGGTTTTTATATCAATCAAACAGACCGCGACGCAGCATAAAATAGGAAATAACATTCATACACAATAAAGCCAAAAATTGGCTGTGAACGTGTGAGACTATAATTAATAAACTGAGTATAACTTATGAACAGTAAATCGTACAATAATAATCTATAGGTCAAAATGAAGCTTATAATAAGAGGAATATAGATATACATAATTTAATTATTGATTAGTTATACCATAAGAATGTATAGATAATATTAGTCACTTAATATGTCTCAGAGGGTACTCGTAATTCAATCTTCCTTAGGATATAACAGTTTCCACACCAATCATTCTCTGTTCTCATTCACTTCTCTTCGATCTTCTTAATCTTCTACCACTAGGCATTTCACTTTTTTCTGATGATACATACTACTTATATCTGTTGACATCGGTAGCACACCACAATTTGACCTAATTTTTATTTTGCCAACTAGTTAAGTTTCTATCTCTTGTATATGATAATGATTAGAGAAACGCAAGATTCTCCGATACAACACAGCATGCACCAATCCAATCACAATTTACGGGGAAGATTTGGAAGATGTGAAAACTTTTACATATTTGGGCAGCATCATTGATGAACAGAGTGGATCTGATGCAGATGTGAAGGCTCATATCGGCAAAGTAAGATCAACATATTTACAAGTGAAGAACATCTAGAACTCAAAACAACTGTCAACCAACACCAAGGTCGGGATTTTCAACACAAATGTCAAGACAGTTCTACTGTATGGGGCCGAAACCTGGAGAACTATGAAAGCCATCATCCAGAAGATACAACTGTTTGTTAACAGTTATCTACTCAAAATACTTCAGATCCGTTGACCAGACACTATCAGCAACAACGTACTGTGGGATAGAACAAACCAGATTCCAATGGAGGAAGAAATCAGGAAGAAGCACTGGAAGTACATGGGACATACATTGAGGAAAACACGAACTGCCTCACAAGGTATGCCCTCACAAGGAATCCTCAAGGCTAAATAAAGGAGAAGAGGAAGACCAAAGAAATGGAGACAAACATGAGAAGAATGAATAAGAATTGGATGGAATTAGAAAAGAAGGCCGAGGACAGAGTGGATTGTAGAATGCTGGTTGGCGGCCTATACTCCATTAGGAGTAACAGGCGTAAGTAAGATTTCTTATATTAAATATTTATTGTATACTAAGAGGAACCTAACACTTCTTTTTCTTCAATATTCATATAATAATTGCATTGTGAATTAAATCACTATTTTGTAAAATAAATAACTTAGACGTCATGGTTGAATTCATGAGAAGCCTAGAAGCAGTAAACGTCAGTTTCGTTCCAGTATGGGACTCGTCAAAAGTGCTCATTCACGATCCGGCTCATTGGATTAGAACCCAGAACCCATCGGTCTCGCACACGAACACTTAAACTCTAGACCACTGAATCGGTATCTAACGGTATTAATATCTAACTTGCGCCAGTGTCCATCATTGTTTTAAGTGAGTTACTATCTCACAACAGATCCGCTTGAACTTCACTGGTCACAGCTTCTCACTAGAACTCCAAGAAATACTTCTTTAATCCAGTTGTTAATGAGCATATGATGATTAACAGTAATTCACAAGTATTAGTTTATACTTAGTTGATCAAATTTCTTGTTAAGTTTAAAAGTTAGTAAATTTGCTAGTCTAAAATGTCATATATAAATAGAATGAAATATCTCTGTCAAATAGATCCTCATTCTTACAAATATTCTCTTTGTCTTATCTTATTGATGTTTTTAACAAATTCATCTTCAGAAATTCATCAAATCCTACAAATCTTGTTATCAAGATCGTGGATGCGCATTGCTGAGGAGTCTCATTCTAGGACGAAACGACTGTTCGGTGCTTCCAGGTTTTCCATAGTGGTCTAGCTTCAATTAACTCATGATTTCAACTATTGAAAGATGAATATATGTTAAGAGAAAAATATCTTCAAGTTAACAACTTGGAAAGTACAACCAATGATATTCGTTATACAAACTAGTGGTGAACTGAATTCAATAGCTCAGTAGATAATGAGTTGGGCGTTTGAATTGGAAGGTATTAAGTTTACATTTCATTATCAATATCATCACTTTCCAAGTACATCCCAATAACAAGTTTTAATGAGGATTAAAAGTATATTGTAGATTCTATTGTTAGCAACTATTCAACTTTATACCAAAAAAAGGATTATCGTATTAAGTTTAAATAGTCATGTAAATCATTTCAAAATATCAGATTAATGAAATATGAAACTAAATAGTATTGCTAAATAAGCATTTAATGCTAAACAGTTTGTTCATTGATGAATATATCTTTTTTTTGATTGAGATCATGAACCGATTGATGTTAAACCACCACCTTTGGAAACCTGGAAACACTGGACGACCGTTTCGTCCTATTGTGGGACTCCTCAGCAGTGCGCATCCACGATCCCGCTCGCGGGCTTCGAACCCAGGGCCTTCGGTCTCGCGAGCGAACGCTTAACCAACTGGACCACTGATCCGGCATTCAATGGTGATAGTGTCTAACATCAATCAATCCATGAATATATCATCAGGACTGGATACTATCAAAGAAAGACAGGGTTAGAAGTTATATTATGAAACTTTAATAATCTGTAACATTACTGATACAACAAATAATGTAAGTTAAATGTTTTATCTCAGATATTAATTTGTTTCATACACATGGTTCTCGTTATCGCTTTGAAAAGAACAAGAACAAACATTCTAGTAGAATAGCATGAATTCATTTTGATTTCGTCTGGTTCTCATCAGATGCTTACAACCTGTGATGTTTAAACATCATAATTACACAATAGGTTTAAATTACTTACATGAGAGGGTTTGGTTGCAAGTTATATTGAAGACACTTTAGTAGACTATAGCAATGGTGTAAATAAAATGAATATCTATGTTTATTTAACCTCACTGTCACAATGTATAACAGAAGTTTATTGTCAGTATTATTATCACCCTGTAAAAATAACTAAATATTGTACCTAATGTAAAAGAACATTCTACAATATTGATTGTGACAACAGTTCAAACGGCTAGAAACGAGTGATTACATAATAAGTAAATATTGATAGGAATATAGTGAGTAAAGCTTAGTTGATAAAATAAGACTATTAATTTGGAAGATAATTGAAACAATACTCGATGATGTAATAAATGCACGAAAGAGTTTAAAGAAAAAGAAAAAAAAACTTTTTTTTGAGATGCAGAGAAGACATATTTGTCACCAAGACAAGGAAAGATTAATAACCATCTCCTTTTGAACCCATAGGTCAGTTTTTTGACGCCTAATGGCAATGGCTTCAACAAACTTCCGAAGACTGGAGTTTAGCTGCTTACTAATCACCTTGAATGATTGCAAGGTATATATCTAGCTGATGTCATGTATCAAAGAGATGTTTACAGTCTTTCTTTCCGTTGTTCTAAAACTATTTGACACATGTTTCTAGCCGTTTGAACTGTGGCCACAATCAATGTTGTAGAATGTTCTTTTACATAACGTACAATATTCAATCTATTGAGTTTATGTACACTCTTGCTATATTAATTTGTTTAACTGTCAATCATTCATAAAGAATAATAGAGAAAAAAATGAGAGAAATAAAAGAAGAGGATACTTAAAAGACTAATATTTGAATGAAGAATATTCTTTTTGATGAATTCTCTTCAGGTTCTACAATTCATATAACCAAATTAATAATCCGAAAAATGGTCAAGTTAAAGGTAAAGTGTATCGTTTAAAGCATATGAAATTAAAATTGTCAAACAGAATAGAATTTCAATAGTTGAGATCATGAATCAATTAAAGTTAGACTATTATGGAAAACCTGATAGCAGTAGATGGCTATTTCATTTCTATTGTGGAACTCCTTAACAATGCGCATCTACAAGCCCATCGTGTAGGATTCGAAACCAAAATCTATCAAAATAGAATTATTAATTTGGATAGGTGATAATGGTAGGACATGAAGAGAATTTATGAGAAGAATATTCTTTGTTCAAATATTCATCTTTTAATATGATAGGGATCTTTAAACGAAAAAAAAAACAAAACAAAATAATTTGCTGAATGAATCTACTGAATGTACATTACGATAATGTAGATGAAGATTATCAGAACTATGTGATGATGATATATATTAACGCAATACATTTCGAACAATCTAATCACACATAATACACTTGTTTAGAACATTGATATATATAAAGAAATAAAAGGTCAACTAGACTGGAAATGGGGTAAGAGGAGATAAGGATGATAATAATAAGAGTAATAATAATAATAATAATGTGGAAACAATTTGAAACTTTGGATAATAGGCCAAGATTCCTAGGGTAGGCTTAAGGTGAGAGCAAACACAAAGGGAGTTTGAATTTTCATATTATCAAAAAAAAGAACAAGGTTCATGCTTCATCGAAAACCTAAAAGACAAAAAAAAAACGACTACACCACATCCGACTGTGTTTACCAATTTAAATGTGTGTGTGGTCATACATACATAGGGAGGAGCAATCGTGATCTGATAATCTTCGTCTTCTTATTACATTATCGAAACTTCATCAATTTGGATAATAAGAGTAGATTTAAGGTGTGAACAAACTGATCTCGAATATATGAAGGGAGTGTGAATTTTCAAATGGTGGACGCTTAGTATACACCCTTTTACACTTTTATATAAAACCACAAAAGCCGAGTTAATATCAATCTTGTGACCTGTTTCAATTATATGTTTAGCAATAGAGGATGATGGATGTTTATCTTTTACTCTTATTGGGGTCACTTGATTCTATTTGTTTCTGTAACTAATTTGGTACATATTCACACACCCTAATTTTGAGATCACGATCACTCCTCCCTATGTATGTATGACCACACACACATTTAAATTGGTAAACACAGTCGGATGTGGTGTAGTCGTTTTTTTGTCTTTTAGGTTTTCGATGAAGCATAAACCTTGTTGTTTCCTTGATAATAACCTTCGTTGCACAATATGTCTTGTTAATGACTGACTTAAGCCTTTGTTTCAATAAAAAGCCATTTGAATCATCTCTAAATGGTAAGGTGATGTAGACAGGCTTTTTCTCTGCCAAAGCTATAATAGGTCACTATACCATGAATTTTCCATCTATTTATTAATTTCAGAGGATAGCCATTTTCCATTAATGTTTTGTTTAGTAACCTAACATCATCATCATCATCAATAGCGCCATTTGTACAATAATGTGTTTACCAATTTAAATAGGTATGTGACCACACATACATAGAGAGGAGTGATCGTGATCTCAAAATTAGGGTGTGTGAATATGTACCAAATTAGTTACAGAAACAAATAGAATCAAGTGACCCAATAAGAGTAAAAGATAAGCATCTACCATCCTCTATTACCAAACGCATAATTATTGAAATAGATCATAAGATTGATATTAACTCGGCTTTTGTGGTTTTGTATAAAAGTGTAAAATGGGCGTATACTAAGGTTTATTGAAGCCTTAACCATTTGAAAATTCAAACTCACTTAATGTATTCAGAAATAGTTTGTTCACACCTTAAATCTATCCTTATTATTCAAAGTGATGAAGTTTCAAATTGTTTCCACATTATTTTCTTTATTACCCCTGTCACCTCTTACCCCATATCCAGTCTAGTTGACCTTTTATTTCTTTATATATATCAACGTTCTAAACAAGTGTATTATGTGTGATTAGATTGTTCGAAATGTATTGCGCTAATATATCATCATCATCATCATCATCATCATCATCATCATCATCATCATCATCATCATCATCATCATCATCATCATCATCATCATCATCATCATCATCATCATCATCATCATCATCATCATCATCATCATCATCATCATCATCATCATCATCATCATCATCATCATCATCATCATCATCATCATCATCATCATCATCATCATCATCATCATCATCATCATCATCATCATCATCATCATCATCATCATCATCATCATCATCATCATCATCATCATCATCATCATCATCATCATCATCATCATCATCATCATCATCATCATCATCATCATCATCATCATCATCATCATCATCATCATCATCATCATCATCATCATCATCATCATCATCATCATCATCATCATCATCATCATCATCATCATCATCATCATCATCATCATCATCATCATCATCATCATCATCATCATCATCATCATCATCATCATCATCATCATCATCATCATCATCATCATCATCATCATCATCATCATCATCATCATCATCATCATCATCATCATCATCATCATCATCATCATCATCATCATCATCATCATCATCATCATCATCATCATCATCATCATCATCATCATCATCATCATCATCATCATCATCATCATCATCACATCATCATCATCATCATCATCATCATCATCATCATCATCATCATCATCATCATCATCATCATCATCATCATCATCATCATCATCATCATCATCATCATCATCATCATCATCATCATCATCATCATCATCATCATCATCATCATCATCATCATCATCATCATCATCATCATCATCATCATCATCATCATCATCATCATCATCATCATCATCATCATCATCATCATCATCATCATCATCATCATCATCATCATCATCATCATCATCATCATCATCATCATCATCATCATCATCATCATCATCATCATCATCATCATCATCATCATCATCATCATCATCATCATCATCATCATCATCATCATCATCATCATCATCATCATCATCATCATCATCATCATCATCATCATCATCATCATCATCATCATCATCATCATCATCATCATCATCATCATCATCATCATCATCATCATCATCATCATCATCATCATCATCATCATCATCATCATCATCATCATCATCATCATCATCATCATCATCATCATCATCATCATCATCATCATCATCATCATCATCATCATCATCATCATCATCATCATCATCATCATCATCATCATCATCATCATCATCATCATCATCATCATCATCATCATCATCATCATCATCATCATCATCATCATCATCATCATCATCATCATCATCATCATCATCATCATCATCATCATCATCATCATCATCATCATCATCATCATCATCATCATCATCATCATCATCATCATCATCATCATCATCATCATCATCATCATCATCATCATCATCATCATCATCATCATCATCATCATCATCATCATCATCATCATCATCATCATCATCATCATCATCATCATCATCATCATCATCATCATCATCATCATCATCATCATCATCATCATCATCATCATCATCATCATCATCATCATCATCATCATCATCATCATCATCATCATCATCATCATCATCATCATCATCATCATCATCATCATCATCATCATCATCATCATCATCATCATCATCATCATCATCATCATCATCATCATCATCATCATCATCATCATCATCATCATCATCATCATCATCATCATCATCATCATCATCATCATCATCATCATCATCATCATCATCATCATCATCATCATCATCATCATCATCATACTCATCATCATCATCATCATCATCATCATCATCATCATCATCATACTCATCATCATCATCATCATCATCATCATCATCATCATCATCATCATCATCATCATCATCATCATCATCATCATCATCATCATCATCATCATCATCATCATCATCATCATCATCATCATCATCATCATCATCATCATCATCATCATCATCATCATCATCATCATCATCATCATCATCATCATCATCATCATCATCATCATCATCATCATCATCATCATCATCATCATCATCATCATCATCATCATCATCATCATCATCATCATCATCATCATCATCATCATCATCATCATCATCATCATCATCATCATCATCATCATCATCATCATCATCATCATCATCATCATCATCATCATCATCATCATCATCATCATCATCATCATCATCATCATCATCATCATCATCATCATCATCATCATCATCATCATCATCATCATCATCATCATCATCATCATCATCATCATCATCATCATCATCATCATCATCATCATCATCATCATCATCATCATCATCATCATCATCATCATCATCATCATCATCATCATCATCATCATCATCATCATCATCATCATCATCATCATCATCATCATCATCATCATCATCATCATCATCATCATCATCATCATCATCATCATCATCATCATCATCATCATCATCATCATCATCATCATCATCATCATCATCATCATCATCATCATCATCATCATCATCATCATCATCATCATCATCATCATCATCATCATCATCATCATCATCATCATCATCATCATCATCATCATCATCATCATCATCATCATCATCATCATCATCATCATCATCATCATCATCATCATCATCATCATCATCATCATCATCATCATCATCATCATCATCATCATCATCATCATCATCATCATCATCATCATCATCATCATCATCATCATCATCATCATCATCATCATCATCATCATCATCATCATCATCATCATCATCATCATCATCATCATCATCATCATCATCATCATCATCATCATCATCATCATCATCATCATCATCATCATCATCATCATCATCATCATCATCATCATCATCATCATCATCATCATCATCATCATCATCATCATCATCATCATCATCATCATCATCATCATCATCATCATCATCATCATCATCATCATCATCATCATCATCATCATCATCATCATCATCATCATCATCATCATCATCATCATCATCATCATCATCATCATCATCATCATCATCATCATCATCATCATCATCATCATCATCATCATCATCATCATCATCATCATCATCATCATCATCATCATCATCATCATCATCATCATCATCATCATCATCATCATCATCATCATCATCATCATCATCATCATCATCATCATCATCATCATCATCATCATCATCATCATCATCATCATCATCATCATCATCATCATCATCATCATCATCATCATCATCATCATCATCATCATCATCATCATCATCATCATCATCATCATCATCATCATCATCATCATCATCATCATCATCATCATCATCATCATCATCATCATCATCATCATCATCATCATCATCATCATCATCATCATCATCATCATCATCATCATCATCATCATCATCATCATCATCATCATCATCATCATCATCATCATCATCATCATCATCATCATCATCATCATCATCATCATCATCATCATCATCATCATCATCATCATCATCATCATCATCATCATCATCATCATCATCATCATCATCATCATCATCATCATCATCATCATCATCATCATCATCATCATCATCATCATCATCATCATCATCATCATCATCATCATCATCATCATCATCATCATCATCATCATCATCATCATCATCATCATCATCATCATCATCATCATCATCATCATCATCATCATCATCATCATCATCATCATCATCATCATCATCATCATCATCATCATCATCATCATCATCATCATCATCATCATCATCATCATCATCATCATCATCATCATCATCATCATCATCATCATCATCATCATCATCATCATCATCATCATCATCATCATCATCATCATCATCATCATCATCATCATCATCATCATCATCATCATCATCATCATCATCATCATCATCATCATCATCATCATCATCATCATCATCATCATCATCATCATCATCATCATCATCATCATCATCATCATCATCATCATCATCATCATCATCATCATCATCATCATCATCATCATCATCATCATCATCATCATCATCATCATCATCATCATCATCATCATCATCATCATCATCATCATCATCATCATCATCATCATCATCATCATCATCATCATCATCATCATCATCATCATCATCATCATCATCATCATCATCATCATCATCATCATCATCATCATCATCATCATCATCATCATCATCATCATCATCATCATCATCATCATCATCATCATCATCATCATCATCATCATCATCATCATCATCATCATCATCATCATCATCATCATCATCATCATCATCATCATCATCATCATCATCATCATCATCATCATCATCATCATCATCATCATCATCATCATCATCATCATCATCATCATCATCATCATCATCATCATCATCATCATCATCATCATCATCATCATCATCATCATCATCATCATCATCATCATCATCATCATCATCATCATCATCATCATCATCATCATCATCATCATCATCATCATCATCATCATCATCATCATCATCATCATCATCATCATCATCATCATCATCATCATCATCATCATCATCATCATCATCATCATCATCATCATCATCATCATCATCATCATCATCATCATCATCATCATCATCATCATCATCATCATCATCATCATCATCATCATCATCATCATCATCATCATCATCATCATCATCATCATCATCATCATCATCATCATCATCATCATCATCATCATCATCATCATCATCATCATCATCATCATCATCATCATCATCATCATCATCATCATCATCATCATCATCATCATCATCATCATCATCATCATCATCATCATCATCATCATCATCATCATCATCATCATCATCATCATCATCATCATCATCATCATCATCATCATCATCATCATCATCATCATCATCATCATCATCATCATCATCATCATCATCATCATCATCATCATCATCATCATCATCATCATCATCATCATCATCATCATCATCATCATCATCATCATCATCATCATCATCATCATCATCATCATCATCATCATCATCATCATCATCATCATCATCATCATCATCATCATCATCATCATCATCATCATCATCATCATCATCATCATCATCATCATCATCATCATCATCATCATCATCATCATCATCATCATCATCATCATCATCATCATCATCATCATCATCATCATCATCATCATCATCATCATCATCATCATCATCATCATCATCATCATCATCATCATCATCATCATCATCATCATCATCATCATCATCATCATCATCATCATCATCATCATCATCATCATCATCATCATCATCATCATCATCATCATCATCATCATCATCATCATCATCATCATCATCATCATCATCATCATCATCATCATCATCATCATCATCATCATCATCATCATCATCATCATCATCATCATCATCATCATCATCATCATCATCATCATCATCATCATCATCATCATCATCATCATCATCATCATCATCATCATCATCATCATCATCATCATCATCACATCATCATCATCATCATCATCATCATCATCATCATCATCATCATCATCATCATCATCATCATCATCATCATCATCATCATCATCATCATCATCATCATCATCATCATCATCATCATCATCATCATCATCATCATCATCATCATCATCATCATCATCATCATCATCATCATCATCATCATCATCATCATCATCATCATCATCATCATCATCATCATCATCATCATCATCATCATCATCATCATCATCATCATCATCATCATCATCATCATCATCATCATCATCATCATCATCATCATCATCATCATCATCATCATCATCATCATCATCATCATCATCATCATCATCATCATCATCATCATCATCATCATCATCATCATCATCATCATCATCATCATCATCATCATCATCATCATCATCATCATCATCATCATCATCATCATCATCATCATCATCATCATCATCATCATCATCATCATCATCATCATCATCATCATCATCATCATCATCATCATCATCATCATCATCATCATCATCATCATCATCATCATCATCATCATCATCATCATCATCATCATCATCATCATCATCATCATCATCATCATCATCATCATCATCATCATCATCATCATCATCATCATCATCATCATCATCATCATCATCATCATCATCATCATCATCATCATCATCATCATCATCATCATCATCATCATCATCATCATCATCATCATCATCATCATCATCATCATCATCATCATCATCATCATCATCATCATCATCATCATCATCATCATCATCATCATCATCATCATCATCATCATCATCATCATCATCATCATCATCATCATCATCATCATCATCATCATCATCATCATCATCATCATCATCATCATCATCATCATCATCATCATCATCATCATCATCATCATCATCATCATCATCATCATCATCATCATCATCATCATCATCATCATCATCATCATCATCATCATCATCATCATCATCATCATCATCATCATCATCATCATCATCATCATCATCATCATCATCATCATCATCATCATCATCATCATCATCATCATCATCATCATCATCATCATCATCATCATCATCATCATCATCATCATCATCATCATCATCATCATCATCATCATCATCATCATCATCATCATCATCATCATCATCATCATCATCATCATCATCATCATCATCATCATCATCATCATCATCATC